GAGTCAAATTTGGATAAGCTACGTAAAATTATGTTTCTTCTGGTTTGCAACTAATTTTTGAGAATTATTATCATCATCTTTATTACCATTATTAATGTCAATATCATAACATTCTTGTCCTAAATAATTATTTCTATCAGTTTCATTAACTTCACAATAATCATGAAAATAACTATTTTCTGAATTATGTTCACTTTCAAATTCATCTTCAACAAAGATATCTTTTACTAAATTTCTTGGATCATCTTTAAATGAAGAATATTAAATTTAAAAGAAAAAATTTTGTTAAAAAAATATTTCGTCAGGTGGTATCATTAATTGCTACTACTATAATTACTAGTACTATGACTTAAAAAAAGAAAATAAAAAAGGTCAATTACTTTTGCAACTACTATCTATTTATTATTACTGGTATGTACAAGGACTATAAAGGACAAAGAAAAAAAAATTTTAATTGGATTGGATTAGAAATGTGAATATATTTATATTATTTTATTCGAATCGTTTTATTCAAATAAACTTTCAATATAATTCGAATATATACTCAAATTCATAATAATTAGAATAAACATCATTCAAATAGAAACCCTTACTATTATTATTTATCACGCATTTCGCACCCTGGTCTGCGCTGTACCCAAAATCGTGATTTTGAGTTAACGCCGCGCCACCCATACATGTAATTAATTCATCACAAGTATTAATTTCGGCCTAAAAACTATTACCCTACTTAAATTGATATTTTTCCATTAAAGTATTTTTTAAAAAATAATAAACAAGGCATAGCAATAGAAACATGGATAATTACAAAACATTCCGATTTGAGCTAACAAAATTTCTATGTGTAATTCATCAAAAGGATTAATTTCATTTTAGAACCATGTTCACTTAATAAAATTTTAAGGTTTAGCAACAACAACAACAACAATAATAGAAAAGCAGATCTTTTTTTCGATTTTCTCAAAATCGGATTTTGCAGTTATCTTCTTCCCCTTTCTATTATTATCCACGCCCATATAAGTCACATCGAAAGATGTTAGAAAGTCATTATTTATTTTGCATTTTTGGAATAAATTAAAAATTTTGGATTTTTTGTAAATTTAACTAAATACGCAGTAACGTTGGCTATTGTTTTTTTCTGTTCCCTTTCACCTTCTTTACCTTTACCTTTTCTTTTTCATCATCATCAATAGGTTTGTTGATAACTAATTTGCTGATTTCCGGCAAAGAATTGAAAATTGGTAAACTTGTGGATGAATTTGTTTTAATACTTAGAGATTGTATATTTCTCCATTTTCTAGGTATTTTTTCAATAATTTTTGGCACTGAAATTTCAATATTTTCAACAATTTGTCTAGACGTCATATCACTTTTACCAATCTTAATCGCACTTTAAATAATATCAACATAAATAACTTACAAATGGCACATCATAGTGATTCTAAGGTTTGGATGTTAACAACCCTTTTCCAAGACTGGCTTCAGGAATTCGACCAAGAGGTTGCTAAAGAAACTTAGAATTGATAATTGTCCAAGTCATAAGATTGATGATTTGGTTCTCCCAAATGTTGATATTCATTTCTTCCCTCTGAATACCACATCAAAAAATCCAGCAGATGGATTATGTCATTCAAAAGACATTATCACCATTTACATATCAAATAGATCCTAAGTCAAGTTGAAAAGGGAAAAAATATAAAAGACTTAAAAATGGATGAATTGCAGGCAATACATTATACTATTATTACTAAAGATTAAAGTGAAGTCATGCCTGAAACTATCCACAACTGCTGGAATCACACCAAAATCCTTCCTGGCAAAACCAATATTAATTTAACCAACCTATCTGATAACATCAACAATTTAATGATAGGTCATCAGGTTGTTGCTACTCTTGATCTAATATCTGTTGAGGGATACTTGAATAATCCAGAAGAAGAAATTGTATATGAAATTCCCGAGGATGATAAAATCGTTGAAATGATTGTGGAAATGTGTAAGCAGCAGACAGAATTAGGAAGTGATAATAAAGAAGAAGATGATAGTGTTTAACAAGTACTAATGAAACTTCAAAAGGTTTGGAAACTGTCCATACAACAAGAAAATGCTAGCAAACAAACAAAATTTGTTAATTCTCTTGAAAAACTTATTAACTTAAATCAAATACAATGGAACGAACTGCAACAGATAGATTCATGTCTTTGAATTTTTCTCTCTTCTAATGATAAATAATAAATTGATTTGTGTCACGTGAGTTACGTGCAGCCAATAAAATGCTTTAATTCCACCCTCCCTAAGTGCACGCTCTCACTCATTCCTAATGGGTACACTTGGGGGGCTGACTGAACTTTGACGCTGATATTGATAATTCTACATGATCGTACAAGCCTAGTCTGTTAGAAATACCATACACAAGCCTGTGAAGGATGATTAGTCGTTCAACTGTACAATATCTTCTATGCTGCTCTTCTTGCTATGACCTTTATATGAGAATTAACTCCAGTACTAGCTATTCTAATTAACATAATTATCAGGATAAATGAATGTGATTTTGGGCATTCAAAGGGATGAGAATATAAGGATTGGGGAGAACAAGGTATGTGATGGTTATTACATTTGGTGCAAAATCCATCATGTTTTGAAACAGTTGATGACAATAATGGTGTTGATGGTGTTGATGGTGTGTTGTAATGGCGATATAGTTGTAATGGTGTGTTGCAACGATGATGTTGATGGGAAAGATATTGATGAGGATGTTGATGAAGATGATGTTGATGAGGATAGTTTATTTTGAACTTCATTGAGCATATTCTTTTACATAATCCCTTTCTGCAACACCAATCTTTGACCATGTTCTCTTTGTATGAAGCTGCTGATTTCTTTGAGACTTGGAATATTCAAAATTCTTGATCAAGCTCTCGATGAATGCATCAATTTCTGACATAATCTGAGCTGTTTTGCCCTACAAAAAATTTTTTGTGGAAAATGTATTTAGAAAAACGTGTTTTTTATATTAATACTAATACTAATACTAACACTAACACTAATACGGAATAATACACTTTCAGTAGTAGTACTAGCATTGAAAAATGCAATATTAATATTGATTTAATATGGAAGGAAGGCGCGTAGAAAACATACGAAAAAAAATGCACTAAACATAAAAAATAGATCCTTCGTTATGACGAGATTAGTAAATTTGGCATATGTGTGTCCCGTACATCTGAATATGTGATATTGCATATTACGTGCCAAACATATGGGTTATCATATCACAGACGAGAATCTAGTCTTTATTTGGGATCTCCATGTAATAAAAGCTGTTGCTAATATTATAACTTTTTTTTATTTATTATTTTTTTTTTTGTTATATAATATATAAAGAATATAAATTTTTTTTTGAAATTTACAAAATAAAAAAAAATCTTACATGAAGTCTAAGATGATAAAAAATTTTACTATTAGTTAAAAAATCGATCTTGTTTAATAGTTCTTTTTTTTTTTTAATATAAGTATAAATATACACATACATATATACACCACCAATCAATCAAGTTAAAATTAAATTAATTAATTAATTTCAAATTCTAATGAAAACATTTGATTTGGTGAAGAAAAATTTAGATGTACAGGACCACCATTATTTTGAGTTGGAGGAGTGGCAGTACGAGGATGAACAGGAGTTGGTAAAGGATGTAATGTGCGTGGCGTTTCATGAGATTTTTCATGTTTACGAAGAGATCTCGAGTGATAATATGCTTTACTACAACCTTTATGTTGACAAACATATGGCCGATGGTTTGAATGGGTTTTTTTGTGGGTTGTTAAAGAATCAGGCCTTGAGAATTTTTTGCCACAACCATTAACATTGCAAGCGTATGGTCTTTCCCCTGTATGTGTTCTTAAATGATTACACATCTTGTGCCTTTTTGTAAACGGTCTTAAGTTTCTTGTACATCCTTCCCAGTCACACAAATACGTTGACTATTTTTGAATATATGTAATTTTTTAACGTTAATAACATGCGTATACTTATATAGTAATTTGACTGATTCTATCATTTTATTGATACCAACCTTACCACTACCAATATGCGTGTCACCAACGTGAGCAATTAATAATTCCAAAGTAGTATATACTTTTGAACAATCTCTCCACATACATCGATGAACTTCATTTTTCTCGGAATCTTGATTATCCTGAGCTTTATTAGATGAAACGGCAATTGACTTTGATTTTGATGTTGATGTTGAAGATGTTGAGGTAGAAGTTTCAGCTATTGTAATTGTTTCCAATTTATTATCATTATTATTACTGTTTCCCATTCTAGAGTCTATTGCTTCCATTTGATCAAAAGAAGTGCCTGTGGCGATTAAATTTGAATTGATTCCATCTATTAAGATAATTTGAAAGTATTCAAGTAAGTCTCAAGCTCACATATAAAATTTTTACTAAAAAACCTCCTTAGTTTTTAAATATACAGATACCACTAACCTTTGATATCATCCGATTTCCTTAAACGTTTATTTTTGGTTTTTTTTATATCAGAGGATGAAAATTGTGAAATTTTTGATTTGACAGTGGAGGAGGAAGATGTAGAAGAAGTTGACCGTGATCTTGAAGTTCTTTTATCACTATCTTGACTTTCGAAAGATTCAATTTTTGCAATAAGTTGTTCTTTACTTAAATTTGGAAATTGAAGTCTCCCCAATACTATGTATAATTGATCTATCGGCATATTGTTGTAAGTTGCTGTCGGAGAAGACTCGACATGATTATAAAAAGGCGAGCCGGTAGAATCTGATGAATCAACAATAAAATGTAAATCAGTTTGTTTCATTCTTGTTGGTAAGCTAATCGTTGTTGGATCTGGTGTTAACGGTTGTGGTGGTGGAATGGATGAATTTGTAATAATGGATGAGTTGGCATTTGTAGATGTGATAATTCGGTCGCTCTGAAGATGAATGAGATTTATTTCGCCATTAATATTTTGACCACTGCTACAGCTAGTAATATTATTATTATCATTATCATTATCATTATTGTTGTTATTATTGTTGTTATTGTTATTGTTATCATTACTATTATTACTATTATTACTATTATTATTATTAATTGATTCAGAAATACTTTGAATTTGTGAAGATTGTTGTAGATTTGTGCCAATGTTTAAAGAATTTTTTCTGGGCGATATATTTTCAGGTATTTGATTTCTAATATTATAAATATCTGTAGAAGTTGTTATAGGTTGTGAATAATGATGTTGTTGCTGGTTCTGCACTTGTTGTGTTTGTATTTGTGAAGATGATTGTTCTATAACATCATTGGTTAATGATTTCGGTGTTTTCTTCTGAATATCCAATTGTGGATGTTCGGTCACAAAAGTTAAAGTAGGTTCAGATTGTATTGTATTATTATTATTACCATCATTATTATTTGTGCTGTTGTTATTATTGTTATCGCCGTGGTTATTATTATTATTATTAAGATTCGGGTCTACAATATTTGTCTCGTGAACAGGATGATCGCCTATATCAATCAAATTCATTTGAGGATTAGTTACTGGAATATTTTCCGTGCCATCTGGGGCCAAATTCCATGAGTTAGAAACAACTGGAGTATTGTTAATTAATTCTGCATCAACAGTATTAGCATTAATTGTTGTTGTTGCTTCTAATGTAGTGATGGATGATGATAATGGTAACGTCAGTGGTAATGAAGGTGGTAATGAAACAGGAGGAGGAGGAGGCGGCAGCGATGGTGATGTTGAAGATGAGGATTCTTGAGGCGAATGATGTGATTGAAGTGATGTTTGTTGTGCGGTAGTGGTGGTAGCAGTAGTAGTGGAAGACAATATTGTATCCAACCCTGGAGTATTGTTAATAGTCATTTGAGTGTTTACCGATCGATTCATCATACTCGCTGCGATGTTAACTGTATTATCTTGTATATCGTTAGCTAGTGTATTTTTATTTACAATTTCCAATGCTAAGTGATGATTATGTTCCGCAGTTATTGATTCAACTATTTGAGAATTTGACAAAGTTTCTACGAGTTGGATTTGATTATTATTCACTGAATTTTGTATGGTAGATTGGTTATTTTGAAGTGTATTTTGATTAGGATTATCTAACATTAGTAATACTGATGACGGATCATTTGAATTTTGTAGAGGTTGGGATGGTTGTTGCTGTTGTTGCTGTTGCTGCTGTTGCTGCTGTTGCTGCTGTTGCTGCTGCTGCTGATGTTGAATTTGAGAATTCGAGATAGCCCGTACTTCTGCTGTTACTTGAGCAACGGCCATTTGAGCAGCTTGAACCTCGGTTTGAACTTGGGCAACAGCTATTTGAGTAGCAACGTCCACTTGTTCTTGTATTCTTAATTCAACATGGGCGGCTTGTGCTTGTACTTGAGCAAATGCTGCTGCTGCCGCGTATCTAGTAGCCTCCACTTGTGCTTTTACTTGAGCTTCAGCTTCGGGATCAGCATGAACCTGAGCATCGGCCTGTGCTTGAGCCTGGGCAACAACAACGGCGGCAGCATATTTAGCAGCTTCAACCTGAGCTTGTACCTGAGCTTTTACTTGAGCTGCTTGAACTTGGGCTTCTTGAACCTGAGCTTCTGCCTGATACTGAGCAGCAACGACAGCGGCTGCAGCTTGGGCTTGTACTTTAGCAACAGCATTTTGAGGATCAGAATGAACTTGAGCCTGAACCGCGACTTTATTATTAATGATCATTTGATCAATCATTTGATTTTGTTGTTGAATGTCTAAATGTTGTTGATGATCTTGTTGTTGCTGCTGCTGCTGCTGTTGATGATGTATGCCAGTAGTAGATATTTCATTTTGCCTGTTAGCATGTTCTATCATAACCTGACTTATTATAGCTTGTACAGAAGATTCTTCATTATTTGACAATATAACCTGATTTTGATTTGAAGCAGGAACAGATGAAAGCGTCAATTGATTCTGTTGATCAGTTTGAGAGACTAGAGCTTGATGTTGTTCTATTATGTTAGGATTATCATGGTGATGTATTAAGGAGGCTGGTATTGTAACGTTTTGAGGGATGTTTCCGATTGGAACTTGATTTTGATTTGAGGAATCTAAAGTGTTTTGATTAGAATTATTTACAACGATTGCAGCATGGAGTTGATCTTGATGATTTACCAAAATTGGATTAGATAAACTTTGATTTGAAGTGGCAATTTCGTTCAATTGATTTATTGTTAAAGTATTAGAAGTATTAGGCAATTGAGAGGTTGACGATGCGATTTGAGTTGTGGTGGTGGTTGTAGTATTAGTAGTGGTGGGTATAGAGGTTGACTGAGTTGTAGAAGTATTGTCAATCTGAGTGGTATTAGTGATAGATGGAACAATAGCTTGTGGAATAGTTGATGGAATAGTTGTTTGAATAGAGTTGTTATTATTGACATCGGTAGTTGTGGATGCAGTAATATTTGAAGCGAGGATAGATTGTAGTTGAGATGAAGAATTAGTATGTTGAAGTTGTTGTTGGATTTGCTGGACTTGGATTTGATGTTGGAGCTGTTGTTGTAATTGGTGTTGCAACTGTGATTGTTGCAATTGTGATTGTTGTTGTTGCTGCTGCTGCTGTTGTTGTTGCTGTTGTTGCTGTTGTTGTTGTTGCTGCTGCTGCTGCTGCTGCTGTTGTTGTTGTTGTTGTAAAGTAGCGGAGGAAGTAGTGGTAGTAAGTGTAGAAGGAGTCATTACTACTGTAGATTGTTGTTGATTTGAGTTATTATTATCTAATAGTATTGCTTGAGCAGGTGGAGTATTATTAGTAGCTGATAAACTATCTAATGAAATATTTGATTGTGAATGTTGTATTAAAGTTGTAGCAATTGCTTCTTGCTGTTTCTGTTGTTCCTCTTGTTGCTGCTGCTGTGATAAAGAAACCTGAGTTAATTGTGGTTGTGATATTAAATCGAATCCAAAAGTTTGTGAATCCATATTTAAATCGAGAAAATTATTTCTTTGTCCGTTTTATTGTAAAATAATTTTTCTTTTTGAATACAATTTAACTTTCTTTAAAATACATATATTATAAATTATATATGTGTTTTTAATTTTTTAAATAAAAAAATTAAAATAATAATAATCGAATGATGAAAAAAGAGAGAGTAAAAAAATTTTTTTTGGAAATTTTGAAATTTTTGTGTAAAAAATAAAAATTTTTTTTTTGTTCTTTTTTAAAATTTAAAATTTTGAATTGTATTTTTTATGCATTATAAAAATGATTGTATAAAATACAATGTATTATATTATGAAATTATTATTTTTAATTTTCTCCCTAAAACAATTGTTAATTTTTTTAAAGAGGTAAATTTTGTATCACTTTTTTATAAAATTTTTTAAAAAATTACATATGTATGTTAAATCTATACATCCAGGTATTTAGCACTACATAGACATCCTATAATAAAATGTCCAGAGTATAAACTCCAAAGTTGCAAGGTTACTCTTGTCATGTTACCTTGATATAATTTAAAGATATATTACGGTTTGTTTACAACTCTATATACCTTTAAAGCTAACAAAGCCATAGAGTACACACGCATGGAAAACTCTATGGCTTGAGCAAGTTGAAATTTTAATTACAAGATCAATAATGCAACGAATAACGAAAAAGGAAAAGTTGGTTTAGATGATAAATTTTTTCATCTGGACAGTAAATTGTCTGATAATTATATATATAGATAGATAGAATAACATTTGAACTGGTATATAAGATTATTTTGATGGTCATTTTTTTACACGGTCTTTGACGATTCCTCCTATGTAAAATTTTATACCATTTTTCTAACAAATCTACATACACCAGTTCTTTAAAAAAAAAAATGCTTCTTTTTTATACACCAGTTCAAGTATGATTATCCGAAGAATAGAATAAAATTGTCAAAATTGTTAATTTTTTTGAAAATGGACAGAGCTGTTCGATCACGTATTGACCTTTAATGGAACTTTATGCCTGGAATGATAGGCCATGTTTCATTTGTAGGATTTTTTCACATAATTATTGATCGTCTTCCAGTTGTTATTTATTCTTTAACGGATTTGCAGGTTGTACATCTAAAGGTTTTAAGGGACCCAAATTTGTTTGATGAGTCCACAACATCTGCATGTTTTACTATCCTTGCATACGGGATTTATGAAGCAATCGGTAATGTGACCAGGTTAATATTTGCCTTGCAGTTTTAGAATGACCATATCTTGTGTTTTAAACTCTGGAAGCACAACTACATGGCGGTTCGCAATTTTTCTTGTGTATCATTGATAAAGTTAAGCGTTTATTTGTTTTACCATGAATCCCTTTTACTTGGGTTATATCACAATGCGACACGTCCTCCTTTTCCATTATATAAACCACCCATCACTTGGTTATGCCTGGTAATTCACCACGTCTTTGGTTATGTGTGTGCGAGTTTAATATCAAGTGGTTTAAGGGTATATAATAGAATTCACCAAGATGATTCACGGTGAGAAGATAATCATATATTTTCATTTCAATATCATCGAGGATGATGAAACTGCAATTTGTCTTTTTTTAAATTAAAAAAGTTTTTTTTTTTTTTGACAGTAATTGCGCCATTTGGCACGGAATATCAAAACCCATTTCGGTTCAGGATCTTTAAATTTTTATTTTTTGTATCAATGATAACTACAATTAGGAAAGTAACACAAAAATTTTAAATAAATACCTAAATCATGTGCCAGAAATTGTAACCTGGTTATTATTGGTCCAAATTATGTATAGAAACTGTTGAGAAAACTTGGGCTCGCAGAGAAAGAATATGAAGGGCGAAGAAGTTGTTGTTAAGGAGTGGGAAGAAGAGAAGAAAGACTAGGAGGAAAAGTGGGAAGGGCAGGTGATGAAGTTGCAAGATGCGTTGGTTGAAATGATAGAGAAAATGGATGCTGTCTGTGTCAGGTAAATATAATGAATGTGTCATTTCTTTGACTATTTGGTTTATTAATTCATCCATTCATTTTTGTTCTCCGAATTAATTCTTTTGTTCTATATTATAAAAAGTTAGATTGATTTTCATAATGAAACACTTGCATTTTACAAAAATGTGGATCGACTTCATTTGGTTCCTTTTTCTGTACTGCTACCATTATATATTGTTTTTTTATGGAGATCCAGAATGAATGATTACTTATTTATTTATAACAATTCTCAAATAGCAAAATAATGACAACGTACAATGTCATCACCCACCAGATTATGTTGGATAACCTATTGTTTTGTACCATATAAGATTTTCTCAAGGACTGTTTTAACTATTGGAGTGGATAAGGAAATGAGCAAAGAAGTTCTTTCCTTTGTGAATGTCATGTCATAGTTTTACATCAATGAGCATTTTTAACTATAAATTTTATTTGGACAATCTTTCTTAGAGATGTGACATGCGCATGATTTTTTTCAAATCATGCAATGTCCCGTACATAATTCTATTCAAAAAAAAAAAATGCGGATTTTTAATTTTTACCAAGTTATTATTGATTATATTATTGATATATAGTATTTTAAGAAATGACAAATCAAAAAATTTGGTCTCATTTTGTTAAATTGATAATTTTATCACCTACTTTGGACATTTTCCAAAAGGCAAATCCTGTTATCCATGGAATAGCAATGGATAAAACTTCCGCATTTCAGGGTGTATCTCTGATATCGATCTCCGAGATTTTGTCCGGGTAACTCATAGTGGTCCACTTTTATTCTTTTATGATAAAAGAAGAAACAAATTGACACCTGAACGTGTTTTAAATTGCAAATTAAAATGTCCAAAAAATACTAACAATGATAATATTAATATGGATATTACAATCATTGATGATTATGGAAATATAAGAGGAGAAAATTATAAAATTGGTGATGATGATGATGATTGTGATAATAATAATATTGAAAATGATATTTATTTTTGTAAAAATTTTTTTAAGGTATTAAAATATCACAGTCGAAGCTCGTTAAACCGATGTACTTTGTTGTTTCGGGCTCAAAGCATCGTTTTATTAAGCAAGTAAACTTTGATAAAATGAAATTAATATATATTTTTTTAAAAAAAACTCGGTTTAAAAAGTCATACATCAAATTGTTACTCCTAACGAATTTTAAAATGAGCAAGTTTTGTTCGTTGGAATAGGTTTCGAACGTATATTTTTTTAATATGGAAACAATACGTAAATCATATTATAAAATTATATACAAGTTTCTTTCTATAAACCGATATTATTCGTCTCGTCAAGTTATAATTGTTTTAAGCAATAAGAATATTCGTCTCATTGAGTTGATTTCTATTATAAATGAATATGTAAAAATTCCGTTATAACAAAAATTCATTTTATCGAGTTCCATGTGCAGTATTAGTATTATAGCTTGGATCTAAATGTGTATCAATCATTTTGTATATTTAACCAATCATTTTATTAGGCAAAGAATTAAGTAGGATTCATAATAATAATACATTTACAATAGATCTCTTCTAGCATTAATATTAATGAATTATTATTATTATCAGGTCAAATATTATTCAATATTACCTACCATCCGTTCAAATTAAGGATGTTCACCGAAACCCCCTTTCGGTAGTACTGAACAAAAGTACTTTTGTACATTTACAACTTTGAAACCTATACCGAAATTCAAAAATCTTACCGAAATCCCAAATCATAACTTAACCGAAAGTTAAACAATGAATACATTTGACTAAAAATCGCTTATTTTACTAATCAATTATCAAAATCATTATAATTAATACCCAATTTCTTTTCTAAATTCAACCTTTTTTTTTTTATCCTATTACTATGATTAATCTTAAATCCGGAAATATGACGAATCCGAAAATCTGAAATCTGAAATTATTGCCAAAGTCTGGGCATTCCGATAAATTTTATAAAATTTTTGGAAATCGGCCGATTACATGTGTGAATCATTATTGTTATTAATATTAATATTAATATTTCATTTTATTCGAATTATTCGAATTATTCATTTTAGAAAATATAAAATATTAATTCACAACTTGATGCAACAAATTCTATATTGTTATTGTTGTTATAAATAAGGTCTTATTCCCTTTAACAAGATAATTACAACAATTATATTTATAATTGCTACTAATGTTACCTGACGAAATGTTACATGACGAAATGTAATTTACCGCAAAGAGCATATTGACGAAAAGGAAAAAGAGGTAAAAGTTGACGAAAAGAAAAATTTGACGAAGAGAAAAATATAACCATTTTCACAAAGAAAAAATTTTGTGATAATCTGCAATAATAATTTTTATTTTACGTTTTACATATTTTACATTTAAAATATTATTTTAAGAAAAAATTTAATAGATTTTTTAATTTTTACTCTTTTGTCAGAGTCAAATTTGGATAAGCTACGTAAAATTATGTTTCTTCTGGTTTGCAACTAATTTTTGAGAATTATTATCATCAT